CTATCGCCTCAGGGATGGCAACCCATAGCATGCTGAAGGAAAAAAGAAGGTATCGGATTGATATCCATTACCGCCACCCAAATCACAGTGCACCGTACCAGCGCTTCGTGAAACTTCCTGCGGGTGGTGAGTCCACTGGAAGGCGCCAACCGCACTAACTGGGATTCGATCTTGCCCAGGAAGTTAACCCCTTGGGTTCCAAATGTCTTTTTTCTTCTTCTGAGCTTTCTTCCACCGATCAGCAGATGATGAATAGAGTAGAGCATCTTTATTAAATAGACAAGGATAAACTTGAAAAGCCACGAAACACTCAAAAGTCTCTGCTGTTTCTAGGCAACAGTGAACGGTTTATTTTGATGCCCTTTTCATCTATTGACACACACACGTACGTACACACCTATAGGTTTTTTTTGTTTTTTTTTTTCTTTTATACTCTTCCAGCCTTTAGCTGTTTTCACCCAAGGACACTTCAGCATGTGCACTCAAAAAATGAGCCCACCTGCTTTTGGCAATTTTGACACATCTGTGATTTCCCTGTTTTTTTGGGGGTTTTTTTGGATGTTTTTAATGAAAAATACAACCAGCTGAAAAAGACCATGAAATACAGAGTATTTAAAAAATAAAAAAAAAACACTTTAGTTGACTATTTCACAAATACATTCCCTCTCATCATTTTCAGATTGAAGCCTGCAGCAAGGAGGCAGAGAAGATCAACTCCCTCATCAACTATGGCAGCCCCACGTTAGTCTCCCAGGTCCCGCTCTCTGCCTTTCTGGCCTCTGAGATCAAGATCTCCTCCATCCACTCGTCTGCCGCTGCTCCCCCATCACTGCTGCCCACTGGCTCCGGCCTTTTCCTTCTAAGCCTCCTGGTTGCCTGGTCCCTTCCTGGCCTCTGCTGACTCGAAGTGATTGTTTTCCTTATCCACCTCCACTATTCATCTCACAAAACTTTTCCAAAGTATTCTCCCATTCCAGGCACTACAGCAGAGGACGAGAGGGCTGCGATGAGGTTAGTGTACCAGCAGGGTAGGGAAAAAAAAAAAAAAAAAAAAAAAACAATCAGTATCCTGGACTCGTCTGCGTGTCAAACAATCAAGGTGACGCGAAAGCTATTTTTTGTATTATTAATCCTATTTTTATGATGGAGAGCTTTAGTATTTGAACAGTATTATTCAGTTATTCAGTGGATGAGTTACTCATAGTGTTTGCCTTCCATGAATTGTGTCTGTATGTGCGAGTGCAAGTGACTTAGCGTAAGGTAGCTGTATACTTTAACCTTTAACCTCTTACGACTTGTCTTGATCAAAGGCGCGTGTGTTTGTGTGAGCTGTTATGTAGCTAAAACAAATTTTGAAGTAGCAATGACAATTTTGCTGGATCTTAATGGTGAAGTTTTTTTTTATTATTCTCTATTAGGTCGGGTTTAGGTGGTACAAGGAGTTTTAACCCTCGTACGGTCCTTTGGGTCAAGGTGACCATCCAAATGTGCCTTTGTGTGTATGTGTGTGTGCGTATATGTATCTGTATCGCACGGCTTGTGCCAACTTTTCCTCGTATTCATTAATACTCATATTTTGGGACGAAAAGATGAAAATCATTGCAAGGACGAAGGGTGTGTACAAAAATGCGAAGGACAACGGGGAGGGTTAAAACATAAATTCACACAGTGACCATTTCTTTTATCGTGTTTGTTTAGAGTGCAATGAAAACCACAAAAATTCATGAAATTCACCAGAATCAATTCACAAAATGATGAATGGCATTTATTGAAAATGGTGCCTTTCGTATAGACTTGGTGAAAAATGTTGACAATTTAAAGGACCATCAGTCTATTTGCTTATCCACACAAACTGTTTTAAAAAAAACTGCGATTTTAAACGACACGTTAGCTCAGGAGTACTCAAACGAACGAGAAATAAATTCAACTAAATACTCGACTAAAAGTGCCCTACTACATGATGCGAAACAAAAATATCACTTAAAGTGATAGACACACGGGACCAAAGTGATTTCAGGGGTCGCAGGTAGTCCGGCATCGTATACCAAAAATCGTAGGTAAAATAATGCCATTATTAACAACAGCCTACAATCGTTGGCACAGACATGACAGCATGTTTACAAGTGCTGATCGAATCTGCTCACAGTTAGCAAAGAGGCGGTTTGCGGGCTTAGATGCAGTTAAATAATTATGGAAATATCACACATGGAGGGCTAGGGTGGATTTTCGTCGCCATTTCGTCTTTACTACTACAGAGTGATTTGTTGTGTTTGCGTCTTTGGAGATAGCTACGGACCAATACATCTGTCTGTGTGTGTGTTTGTGAGAGAGAGAGAAATTCTTAACCTTTAACCTCAGTATCGCTGCGATATGACTTGTTGTTTGGCCTTTTGTTTAGACGCATTCGGAGTGTTGGGGAAGAGGGAATGCAGGTCCCAGAGTGAAAAGGTTTGACAACTCCGTATCTGCTTCACCATGTGAACAAAACAGGGCTCCGCATCTATGACTTGCAGTCGCATCGCAGTCGCATCGCAGTCGTGTAAACATGGTCTTAGAGAGTTGACCGAGGATCACCTTTCAGTCAAAGGGGGACAAAGGCTGTGTGCTCTCTATACCCCCCCCCCACTATCTTGTTTTATCTCTGTTCTATTTAATCTGGTTCTATTTTATCCACTAGCAATAATTTATTGTCGTATAAAAACCTGCAACAATCAAAAGATAATACGTTCACTCCACCTCTTCGTCGCTTTGCTAATCTGCATCCTGCGTAGTATCCGCTCAAAAATAACTTTTGATTAAATGAATTAAAAACTCCCATTAGCAGGAATCAATAAGAAATCACAAGAAGGTGGCAGTGATACTACACCATAGCCTGTGTTAAATTAAAACTTTAAAACAAAGAAAAGGACAGTCTTCCTCAGGGACATTGAATTAAAACATCCGCAGCATTACGTCACGATATAAAATTGAAAATGAATAAAACAATTAAAAATGAATAAAAAAAAAAATTAAAAAGCCATAAACTAAATGATTCGTCTCAGTGAACTGAGAAAACAAATTGGCAATCATAGCACCATCTGCAGGGAAGGAACGGGAGCTGCACGCTCGTCGTTTACAAACATAAAACCAAAGTATACAGCAGGGTAGTGCAAACTAGCAGTAAAGTCGTATCTTGTGACCACCATTTCTGGTATATTTTATTTTATTATTTTAAGTGGTGAAGGACTAGTGACACTAACCAGGACAGGAAATCACACATCAACACTTCCTGTGTGTGAGGCCAGTAGACGTGAAGTTAAAGGGACATCTTCTCTCTATACATACGAAGCAGAAGCCATTTTATAGTGTTATAAATGACAATCAGCCTGTCACTGCAGGCAGGGGTAGATATGTTTACTACACAGTATGCCTTGCATATAGTGTCTTATATGAAGTATTAGTAAAAAAAAAAATCACTTTATCTTTGTTCAGAAATGTGTTTTTATATGATAAGATTATTAGGGATGGTGATTATCTTCTTGTTTTTGTTTATTGCATGATGTTAATTATGAAGTGTTTCAGAATGTAAGATGGCGTGTGTCATCCGTGTCCGTCAAGCACAGCTTGTCCACGCCGACAGTATTACTGTGCCGGGAAACCCTGTGCCACAGCTTCTACATGTTTAAAATCTATTTTATATTACTGTCTTCTGGAGACAGCAAGTATTTGATTTCTTTGTTTGTTTTCAGTGTTTGTTTGTTTTTTTAAAAAAAACCTTGATATGTCATGAAAGTATTTTATTTTTATTCTCATATACACATATATATGAATGTCATACTGCAAAGGTTGTCACTCACATATTTTATGTATGTTACACTTAGAAGGGTTTATTTGCAGAAATGTACTACTCATACCTTTGTATATAATCACTGTTAAATAAATAAAAATATTTTAATAGCCTTAACTCATTTGTGTACTTTAGTTGGGGTTCTTTCTGACTGTAGGCCACCATCTTGGGGGAGCAGTGTTTCTTGAGAAAGTGCGTTATATATTTAAACAGATTTTTACACAGGAAAGAAAACCATTACTGCTAAATGGAGACGATATACTTCGATGATATGCTCAAAAAAGTAAAGGCATTATATTTCTTGTTACTCTGTTGCTGCGTCATAGTCTGTTTTGATATGCAATACCACTGCTGACCAGCAGAGGTTTGATGATTAACTTGTAGTCTGGATAAAGAGCCGTAGAAACCGTATAAGTTACAATTCGTGAACAATGGTAGTGTTAAAATAAAATAAAAAATATTTATAATTTAATTTAAAAAAAATTAAACGTTCAGTACAAATACACGTGTACCGAAGTGTGTGAAGGGGAACCATGGTCATGAACAGCGAAACAAACTTCCACCGGAAGTCAATTTTACATTTAATAGCAGTTAGCATAGGCTGTCTCCGACGTTAAAAGGAAGCGACGTTTAATAACCCGACAATAACCCGACAATTTAATAACCCTTTAATTGAATTGAATAATTTTAGATATAATATGTAAATTTTATGGATATAAAAGTACGAGGTATGTGTAGTGCACCCACGGTTAAGGTAAGACGACTTCTTCAAGCTAACGTACTGTATAAGACTTTTCTCAACGACGGAGTATAAGGGCCACGTTGAAATAGGAAAAAAAGTAGAAGTAGAAAAGAAAAAAATATAACCTTTCACGTTTCAAATTTATAGTTATAAATTCACAATATTAGTATAAATGTAAAAAGACATTTGTGTGGTTGTGGTGGAATCTCTTTTTTGGTAAACCCAGTAAAAAAAAGGTGCTTCACGTTTTCATATTGTGACGCATTTATGCGTAATTCTTCTCCAACAAAACTTTTACGACTGTATTCTATTAAATTTGCGACTTTATTCGTATAAACGTTACACGTTTTTCTCTTCGTATTTTATTCGTCCTTATAGTGGTCCTAATATTCCGTACTCCGTACTTTTAGATGTTTGTCCTAAATGTGGCCCTTATACACCGTCGTATTTGTCAATGTTTCTAAGTGTGTCGATTTTTTTTAACTACTCGCTGATTCATTATGTAATAATGTACGTTGTGTTCGTGAAAAGTCACGCATGCTCTCATTACAATAATCCGAATAATGAAAGATAGCGGTTCACACAATTCGCCACGAGGTGAGGGTGGAGGCAAGCTTTTTCTTCTTTCTTTTTTTCTTGGAAGTACACATATCTTGACAAGCTAAACATTGGACATTAAAATGTTATTGGATTTAAATGAAAACAAAAGTTCCCATTTATACTACGATACGATGCACGTGAGTCTCACACAAAGACGCACACAACAACAGAAAACATCCAAAAGTGTGCAGTATTTTTTCTGCAAACCAAATGACACTGAATTAAAATAATAAATAAAATTGCTTAAGTAGAAGTAACCAGTGTTTACCATGCAGTGCTGTATGCACATTCTTTCATTCAAATCTCAATAGAGATTCAGTTCAAGGGTCACTCTGAACATAGCTGTATAGTTGTACAACGATGCAGAAAATAAATTCATGGCCATGAATCATGTCATAGCCTAGGTTTTACCATTTGGTTGCTTTCTGCTACCACTGTTTCAGAAACCTTCTATTCATAGTGCCAAGAAAGGCTGTTGGCATGCCACCTGCTGGATTGTAATGCAAAATCTGTTGGCTGGTGGCTACACTGTGTGTAGTTTTCAGGTTAAGGTTATGTCTTGGGTACTATAGAGTTTTGGTTTGTTTTGTTACTTGTTACCACAGAAGCGGAAATTACATTATTTGTGAGCTTATTAGAAAAAGCTATTTCTCTAACCAGTTGGTGCTCTGGTCTGAATGTGCGGTGCAATGGCGTGGCTGAATCACTGGTTTTGCAGTTGTCGTGGCCGAGTGGTTAAGGCGATGGACTTGAAATCCAGTGGGGTCTCCCCGCGCAGGTTCAAACCCTGTCGACAACGTATGCCTTTTTGTGCTTTTACAAGAAATATATCTTGATAAGATCAGGGTACACAGGAAGGGTTTAGATTTTATTTATTATTTATTGTCCACTTATTTTTTTAGTTCCACATGAGATTACAGATAGGTAGATCTCGCTCAATTGGCGTTTTTGTTAATCACAGTTATAAAATGTTTTCAAGATGGTGGCTGAGAGTGGATCCTCCCATTTTTGAAGTTGAATCAGAAATGCCATGGAGGATGCGGGCGTTGATCCCGCTACCTCTCGCATGCTAAGCGAGCGCTCTACCATTTGAGCTAATCCCCCGCTGTTTAAAGAAACTTTGAGTTTTATAAAAGCCATAAAGATGGCTTACAGTTTCAGCTCAAAGAAACTAGAAGTACTGAAGATATATTTAATTTTTTTTCATTATTTGTGAGCTCATTAGAAAAAGCTATTTCTCAAACCAGTTGGTGCTCTGGTCTGAATGTGCGGTGCAGGGACGTGACTGAATCACAGGGTTTGTAGTTGTCGTGGCCGAGTGGTTAAGGCGATGGACTAGAAATCCATTGGGGTCTCCCCGCACAGGTTCGAATCCTGTCGACAACGTGTGTGCTTTTGCGCTGTTACAAGAAACCGCTCATGGTAAGACCAGTGTTGCAGAATTAGACAAGAAGGTTTACACAAAAGTAGTGAACAGAAAAGTCATACTCTTTTGTTCTGAAGATTACATTTTTGATGCGGGCATTGACCCCACTTAAGCGGAAATCACATTATTTGTGAGCTTATTAGAAAAAGCTATTTCTCAAACCAGCCGGTTCTCTGGCCTTATTGTGCAATGCTGGGGCGTGACTGAATCACAGGGTTTGTAGTTGTCGTGGCCGAGTGGTTAAGGCGATGGACTAGAAATCCATTGGGGTCTCCCCGCACAGGTTCGAATCCTGTCGACAACGTGTGTGCTTTTGCGCTGTTACAAGAAACCGCTCATGGTATGACCAGTGTTGCAGAATTAGACAAGAAGGTTTACACAAAAGTAGTGAACAGAAAAGTCATACTCTTTTGTTCTGAAGATTACATTTTTGATGTGGGCATTGACCCCACTTAAGCGGAAATCACATTATTTGTGAGCTTATTAGAAAAAGCTATTTCTCAAACCAGCCGGTTCTCTGGCCTTATTGTGCAATGC